TGGCCCGTGGATAAAGAAATGCCCCCGGGCGGCACGGTGGCTGAGTGGATAGCACTCTCGCCTCTCAGCAAGAAGGTCCTGGGTTCGAATCCCGGCCGGACCAGGGCCTTTCTGAGTGGAGTTTGCATGTTCTCCCCGTGTCTGCGTAGGTTTCCTCCGGTTTCCCCTACCACTAAAAATATGTCCAATAGTTCTGGCATGCGCTTCCTGTACTGGCGACCCCGCTCCCATCTCTGTGTGGAGTGAGAGACTAATGCCCAAAATTAACAATTGTAAACCGCTTTGAGACTCAGATCTGCAGTGAAAAGGCGGTATATAAATAAAAACTTACTTACTTACTTACCCCCTATAAATAGGAAGGGGTCACTAATACACGGCAAGATTTCCAATGTATTTGATAAAGCGTTGGCACATTTCATTTCAAAATGAATTAAAAAGTAGGCCAGATCTGCAGTGAAAAAGGCGGTATATAAATAAAGATTACTAATAAAGATTACTACAAATAAATAAATACATACATCGATATGACGGACATATCACTGGAATGTTGTATTTTTATTAAACTTCACCAAAGAGGACAACCCCGGCGTGTGAACATGTCGGCACTGAATGCGTACGAGTGCTCCTGAGGACTTGCCCAAGAGAAATTCTGGTTACGAGAAAAATTCGTGAATGCCACTTTCTTCGTAAAAACCTCGTAAGTAGGATTTACGTACAAATCTGTTCCTAAGAACCGTTCGTGAATGAGGCCCAATGTTCTTTGAAAGTGATGTAATCTCTCATGGTCCAGGGTTAGGGTTCCAATGGTCCAGAGTTAGGGTTCCAATGGTCCAGAGTTAGGGTTCCAATGGTCCAGAGTTAGGGTTCCAATGGTCCAGAGTTAGGGTTCCAATGGTCCAGGGTTAGGGTTCCAATGGTCCAGGGTTAGGGTTCCAATGGTCCAGAGTTAGGGTTCCAATGGTCCAGGGTTAGGGTTCCAATGGTCCAGGGTTAGGGTTCCAATGGTCCAGGGTTAGGGTTCCAATGGTCCAGGGTTAGGATTCCAATGGTCCAGAGTTAGGGTTCCAATGGTCCAGGGTTAGGGTTCCAATGGTCCAGGGTTAGGGTTCCAATGGTCCAGGGTTAGGGTTCCAATGGTCCAGAGTTAGGGTTCCAATGGTCCAGGGTTAGGGTTCCAATGGTCCAGGGTTAGGATTCCAATGGTCCAGGGTTAGGGTTCCAATGGTCCAGGGTTAGGGTTCCAATGGTCCAGGGTTAGGGTTCCAATGGTCCAGGGTTAGGGTTCCAATGGTCCAGAGTTAGGGTTCCAATGGTCCAGGGTTAGGGTTCCAATGGTCCAGGGTTAGGGTTCCAATGGTCCAGAGTTAGGGTTCTAATGGTCCAGGGTTAGGGTTCCAATGGTCCAGGGTTAGGATTCCAATGGTCCAGAGTTAGGGTTCCAATGGTCCAGGGTTAGGGTTCCAATGGTCCAGCGTTTGGATTCCAATGGTCCAGATTTAGGGTTCCAATGGTCCAGGGTTAGGGTTCCAATGGTCCAGGGTTAGGGTTCCAATGGTCCAGGGTTAGGGTTCCAATGGTCCAGAGTTAGGGTTCCAATGGTCCAGGGTTAGGGTTCCAATGGTCCAGGGTTAGGGTTCCAATGGTCCAGAGTTAGGGTTCCAATGGTCCAGAGTTAGGGTTCCAATGGTCCAGGGTTAGGGTTCCAATGGTCCAGCGTTTGGATTCCAATGGTCCAGATTTAGGGTTCCAATGGTCCAGGGTTAGGGTTCCAATGGTCCAGGGTTAGGGTTCCAATGGTCCAGCGTTTGGATTCCAATGGTCCAGAGTTAGGGTTCCAATGGTCCAGGGTTAGGGTTCCAATGGTCCAGGGTTAGGGTTCCAATGGTCCAGGGTTAGGATTCCAATGGTCCAAAGTTAGGGTTCCAATGGTCCAGGGTTAGGGTTCCAATGGTCCAGGGTTAGGACTCCAATGGTCCAGGGTTAGGGTTCCAATGGTCCAGAGTTAGGGTTCCAATGGTCCAGGGTTAGGGTTCCAATGGTCCAGGGTTAGGGTTCCAATGGTCCAGAGTTAGGGTTCCAATGGTCCAGGGTTAGGGTTCCAATGGTCCAGGGTTAGGGTTCCAATGGTCCAGGGTTAGGATTCCAATGGTCCAGAGTTAGGGTTCCAATGGTCCAGGGTTAGGGTTCCAATGGTCCAGCGTTTGGATTCCAATGGTCCAGATTTAGGGTTCCAATGGTCCAGGGTTAGGGTTCCAATGGTCCAGGGTTAGGGTTCCAATGGTCCAGGGTTAGGGTTCCAATGGTCCAGAGTTAGGGTTCCAATGGTCCAGGGTTAGGGTTCCAATGGTCCAGGGTTAGGGTTCCAATGGTCCAGAGTTAGGGTTCCAATGGTCCAGAGTTAGGGTTCCAATGGTCCAGGGTTAGGGTTCCAATGGTCCAGCGTTTGGATTCCAATGGTCCAGATTTAGGGTTCCAATGGTCCAGGGTTAGGGTTCCAATGGTCCAGGGTTAGGGTTCCAATGGTCCAGCGTTTGGATTCCAATGGTCCAGAGTTAGGGTTCCAATGGTCCAGGGTTAGGGTTCCAATGGTCCAGGGTTAGGATTCCAATGGTCCAAAGTTAGGGTTCCAATGGTCCAGGGTTAGGGTTCCAATGGTCCAGGGTTAGGACTCCAATGGTCCAGGGTTAGGGTTCCAATGGTCCAGAGTTAGGGTTCCAATGGTCCAGGGTTAGGATTCCAATGGTCCAGGGTTAGGATTCCAATGGTCCAGAGTTAGGGTTCCAATGGTCCAGGGTTAGGGTTCCAATGGTCCAGGGTTAGGACTCCAATGGTCCAGGGTTAGGATTCCAATGGTCCAGGGTTAGGATTCCAATGGTCCAGGGTTAGGGTTCCAATGGTCCAGGGTTAGGATTAGATGCCACATTTCAAACATCTTGATCCTCGCACACTTATGGTTTGTACAGGGCATTGAATGTCTTCCTCTGATTATAAAACATGTTTTCTTTTGCAAACTTGTGAGAAAGAAACATGATATTCGTACTGCATCGTGCTTTTGTTTACAGGTAAACCAGCGTTAATTCATGCGTTAAAAGTATTGGGTTCTTGTATACCAGGCAATATAAGGTTTAGTGATGTTATTACCCTGACATGTTTTGACCACATTCTACTAAGAAGACAAGATGAATCTTCTTAAACTATTCATTAATGCGCCTTATAATCAGCTGCGTCTAACAGTAGCTAATTTTTTCTGGTTTGAAAGTGAGGTGTCCTATCTTTATTTCATTGTATTTGCAGGTATCATATCTTCAAAGTAATTCATCTCAATTCCACCTCGTCTGGAGTATATTTAAATCAAAGGCAAATAACAAATCTAACATATACTTTTGTTGGAAATGTTTCTGATGTTCATAATAGCTTCTGCGGAGATTTTGAAGGGGGGAGGTTGCGTATTGAGCAGAGCACTGGTCAAATGAAGTTGAGAAAGTCTGTGAAAGTTTGTGGGATGCTTGATGGTGCAGAGCACGGCCCGTGGCCCGAGCACATCCACTTTTCATAAGGCCAGATTCAGAAGTGCCTGAGAGAGAACAAATCGATAGGAGGACGGCGAGCGCAGGCTAATGCATACACACGCTACACTCGCACAAATGAAAACACACAGCAGGATCACATCGCATCAACCAAAGTACGTCAATATCAACCACCAGGGAGGGCCCGGCGACAGCGGGAACTAGAATCGGAAATGTGATTTGATTGGTCCCCGGTCATTCATGATTTAGGCCAAAAATCACCTCATTAGTCTTCGTGAAGCAGAGACTGGTGTCGTATTTACTTTAATTGTGGTAACAAGGATTGCGGAGGAAAACCCATACACTGCATATAGATTGACAAAGCTAACCCGCTAGATCAGTGAAGCTCAATATGGAAGTGCTCATGGATGAAGATTGGAACTTTCTTCTATTGGCTTTGAAAGTGAGCTCCTCTTGCTCAGTAACCATTTGTGTCCCTGTCTTTATATAATGATGTCTTGATATAGCCAGTTAAATGAGCCCTTAGGATTACCCAATCAGAGACCTTCATTTGCGGGGGAAACTTCAGATTGCCTTAGTAACCATGTAAGAAGGGACTGATTCACTTTCACAGCTGATTTATAGATAATATATTTTATAAATGTAGATAAACAATATTTCTGTGGAAAAACGTGAACAAATTATAATGACATTTTTCGTTTTCATGTTGACTATTTTTTCTTTTTACATTTCTGTGCTTCAAATCAATAGTTCATATCGGTTTAATTGAAAAGAACATCTAAGCTCACAGACCCATGGACTCCCTTGGACCCACCAGTTATAAATGTGTCATTTTAGAAAAAACATAAATATTCGGGGTCAAGGAAAAGTCTTATATGTATAAAACAATTTAAGTCCGAGACACAGTTGAATATTGAAGAAAGTCAGATGGCAGAACTGCAAAACTGACTGCGGTGAAACCAAAGTGAGAAATATTTTACTCCAGATTGCAACAAATACTAAATTGATAATCACAACCAACTCACACTTCTCTGTTTGACAGGAGGAGATTTCTATTTCAAAAGCAATGATTAATCAAAGAGACGAGGCCAGACTTCATTAACAACATGGCCTCTTGAATAAGTAAGCAAAGCAATATTCAATCATAATCACAGAACATTAAAAAGAAAGATACAAATGCTTTTTTGTATGCAGCCAAACAGAACTGTTTTTAATCTGGATTTGAACATTGTCAGAGAAGAAGCCTGTCTAACATTTTTAGGAAGACTGTTCCAGATTTTAGCTGCATGAATCTAAAATGCTGCCTCTGTTTAGTTCTGACTTTGGAACAAGCAGAAGGCCAGTCCCTGTGCTCCCCAGAGTCCCGGCAGGAGGCCAGTCCCTGTGCTTTTCAGAGTCCCGGCAGGAGGCCAGTCCCTGTGCTCTTCAGAGTCCCGGCAGGAGGCCACTGTCCCCCCGCCCCCACCCTCCGTGATGGACTCCCCCATCACCTCTGTGGAGTCCTTCCGTTTCCTGGGCACCACCATCACCCAGGACCTCAAGTGGGAGCCGACCATCAGCTCCCTCATCAAGAAGGCCCAGCAGAGGATGTACTTCCTGCGGCAGCTCAGGAAAGCCAAGCTGCAGTTCTACACGGCCATCATCGAGTCCATCCTCACCTCCTCCATCACCTCCTCCATCACCTCCTCATCACCTCCTCCATCACCTCCTCACCTCCTCCATCACCTCCTCACCTCCTCCATCACCTCCTCCATCACCTCCTCCATCACCTCTTCCATCACCTCCTCCATCACCTCCTCCATCACCTCCATCACCTCCTCCATCACCTCCTCCATCACCTCCTCATCACCTCCTCCATCACCTCCTCCATCACCTCCTCCATCACCTCCTCCATCACCTCCTCCATCACCTCCTCCATCACCTCCTCCATCACCTCCTCCATCACCTCCTCCATCACCTCCTCCATCACCTCCTCCTTCACCTCCTCCATCACCGTGTGGTTCGCTGGAGCCACAGTCAGGGACAAACAGAGACTACAGTGCATTGTGCGCTCTGCAGAGGAAGTGATCGGCCGCAGCCTTCCATCGCTGCAGGACCTGTACGTCGCCCGAGCTCGAGGCCGGGCTGGTCGTATCACAGCCGACCCCTCTCACCTGCACATGGACTATTCCAACCACTCCCCTCTCACCTGCACATGGACTATTCCAACCACTCCCCTCTCACTTGCACATGGACTATTCCAACCACTCCCCTCAGGCAGGAGGCTGCGGTCCATCAGGACTAGAACCTCCCGCCACAAGAACAGTTTCTTCCCCTCTGCTGTTGGACTCTTGAACACTTCTTAACCTGTCCCCCCGCCCTTTATAAAGTCACTTTACTGCCCATCATACGCCACTTTACTTCACTGTACTGCTGTCACCTTACATTGTGTGCACCATGTGCACTTGTATATTGTAAATAGTAACTGTAACTCTATTTTAAATTTAAATGTATTCCTTAGAATACATTCCTTATTCTTTTTTTTTATTCTATTTTTTTTTATTATCTAGTTCTGACTGTTGCACTGAGCCAAAGCAATTTCCAAGTCTGTGACTTCCTGTTACTTACGTGGCAATAAAAATGATTCTGATTCTGATTAATATAATCTTCATAAATTTTTTCTCCGGTGCTCACTAAGTACACAGACAGGCAGCAAATAACACTGGACTTTAGTGTCTCTCTGTGTGTCTGTGTGTCTCTCTCTGCGTGTGTCTCTCTGTGTGTCTCTCTGTGTGTCTCTCTGTGTCTCTCTTTCTGTGTCTCTCTGTGTCTCTCTGTGTGTGTCTGTGTGTCTCTCTGTGTGTGTCTCTCTCTCTGTGTCTCTCTGTGTCTCTCTGTGTCTCTCTTTCTGTGTCTCTCTGTGTGTCTCTCTGTGTGTGTCTCTCTCTCTGTGTCTCTCTGTGTCTCTCTGTGTCTCTCTTTCTGTGTCTCTCTGTGTCTCCCTGTGTCTCTCTGTGTCTCTCTGTGTCTCTCTCTGTGTCTGTCTCTCTGTGGCTCTCTGTGTGTCTTCCTCTCTCCCGGTCGTCTGCATACAGAGTGCAGAGACAGAGTGCAGAGACAGAGTGCAGAGACAGAGTCCAGAGACAGAGTGCAGAGACAGAGTGCAGAGACAGAGTGCAGAGACAGAGTCCAGAGTGCAGAGACAGAGTGCAGAGACAGAGTCCAGAGTGCAGAGACAGAGTCCAGAGTGCAGAGACAGAGTCCAGAGTGCAGAGACAGAGTCCAGAGTGTAGAGACAGAGTCCAGAGTGCAGAGACAGAGCGGTGTGAGGAGCGTTGCTTGTGCAGCTCCAGTCTCTGTCCTGGCCCGTTCTCTTCACTGCAGTGTTATTTATCCAGAGCCGAGCTGTCAGACTCACCGTGTCCTAGCAACAACTGCACCTACACCACGCACTTGTGCTCCTCATTCCTATTGTGATGAGTAAAGGATTTAGTTATGTTTAATCTTTACAATTTAAAGATGGGGTTGCTAAATTTCCATTTTCCCTAATAATTTTGTTTTCTGTTGTCCATTGTTTTGAGAGTGAGAAACTATTTGGATGAATGTCATTTTTTTCTGTTTTTAAAGTCAGGTCTCCCAACTTTAATTGAATAGATTTGTAGAAAGTATTTGTAGGTGTGATATCTGGACCATACCATGGACGTATTATTGTTCTAATTATGCAAACATCACTAATATAGAAGTGATGTTCCAAACAGCTTTTCTGGAGCTACCTCGTCTATAATCAACATTTATGGACAATGGTCATTTCCTGTTATGGACCAATGGCTCTGTGTTTTTTAATCATTGCCTTTTCTGTGTTTGATTCTCTGATCTGTGTTGGAAAATCCACAACTTCAGTTTATTCATTTTTTTCATCTTCTTCAACCCAAAAGAAGAAATCTCAGAGAACTGCTCATGAATCTGGGATGGAAAACGGTGAAATCCGGACAAAGTCTTTGATTTTCAACAGTTTAGTGCAGATTGAAGCGTTTCCTCTGGTTCACACTTGAATGGACGTTCACTTTTCCTCGGTCTAAAGAGCGAGAGAAAGCGAGAATAAACATATGTGCACAAACAGCTGGTGTTTTTTACACTTTGCAAGTTCCTCTATGTTTAGCAGCTGCATCAGGAGCTGCATCAGGAGCTGTATCAGGAGCTGTATGAGGAGCTGTATCAGGAGCTGTATCAGGAGCTGTATCAGGAGCTGCATCAGGAGCTACAATATATCAGGAGCTGTATCAGGAGCTGTATCAGGAGCTGTATCAGGAGCTACAGTATATCAGCAGCTGTATCAGGAGCTGTATCAGGAGCTGTATCAGGAGCTGTATCAGGAGCTACAGTATATCAGCAGCTGTATCAGGAGCTGTATCAGGAGCTGCATCAGGAGCTGCATCAGGAGCTGTATCAGGAGCTGTATCAGGAGCTGTATCAGGAGCTGTATCAAGAGCTGCATCAGGAGCTACAGTATATCAGCAGCTGTATCAGGAGCTGTATCAGGAGCTGCATCAGGAGCTGCATGAGGAGCTGCATCAGGAGCTGTATCAGGAGCTGTATCAGGAGCTGTATCAGGAGCTACAGTATATCAGCAGCTGTATCAGGAGCTGTATCAGGAGCTGCATCAGGAGCTGCATCAGGAGCTGCATCAGGAGCTGTATCAGGAGCTGTATCAGGAGCTGTATCAGGAGCTGTATCAGGATCTGTATCAGGAGCTGTATCAGGAGCTGTATCAGGAGCTGTATCAGGAGCTGTATCAGGAGCTGTATCAGGAGCTGCATCAGGGGCTGAATCAGGAGCCGTATCACGAGCTGTAGTTTTCTGGTTAGAAGTGTAAAAATACTGTTTTGTTTTTTATGTAATATTGCAGCTCATTAACCTGGGACTTCGACTGTAAACTTCTAACTCACCCCAAACTGCTTACCCACTTACCCTCAAAGACAAGTAGCTCCTGGCCATAGACAGTTATATAGACGAGGCAGTGAGAAATTGAGAAAAGGGAAATCAGTCACATCCGGACAAAATATCGGATGTCAAAAACTGGGCGATACAAGAAGAAATTTTACTACCTTCTACTTACGGAAGACAAGAGATGCCGGCTTTACACGTTACGAGACACATACAGGCAACCATCTTGCCATTCATCTTGACGTTTAAAATGTAAAACAGAAATCAGCATTTTTTTGTCAATATCACCGATCCCTTCCAGCAAACATGTACCAACAAAAGTTCTCTTCACTTCAGCAATTGTCTGTTCTCATCTGAAGTCGTCAAAACAACCGCCTCTCCCCCGCCTGGATCCTGCCTGTTATTTGTGTGATAATTGGCAGAGAGTTTGTGGATAAGTGAAGCGTGGAGGAAAGCGCATCAGTGATAGACAGAGCAGAGATTAGACTGAACCAGGATCGTAGCCGGATCAGGATCTGATCCAATCCCTCGTCTCTCGGGGGAAGCTGCGAAATGCACCTAAAAGATAAACAGCGTGATGTTTGGAGCCATGTTGTGCATAAAGAGGATGAAGAAGATTGAAATGACAGGACTCGAATGCATTTGAATTATTGATGAGTGATAATAATTGTTTTGGGGTTGTGCATTTCTCCAGATCAATAAAGTTTATCTTATCTTGGCATTAAGGTTGAGGCTAAAGTACATAACTATAGCTTTTTGTTGAAGAAACTAATCAGACCACAACATACTGAGAGCTGGAGTGGCTAAGAGTGGCCTGGTCCTCTCTTTTTCACCGATAAAGATGACCTAAATATGAGACAGAGGCAAAATAATAAATAATATGTGTGTGTGAAGACAAAATGTGATTAATGTCATAATAGTGACTATTATCACTATTGCTCTCTGTCCAGAACTTTACCCTTTCTCATTGACGGTCACAATGGTCACCCCCTCACCCTCAGTTCGCAATCTCGGCATCAAAATGGACTCCACCCTTCCAAAACAATAACCAAAACCTCTTTCTTCCATCTCTGAAACACTGCCCGCCTCCACTCGTTGCTTTCCCAGTCAACAGCCCAATTTCCCACATGGCCTCATCACCTCCAGACTCGACTCCTGCAATAGCCTCATCTACGGACTTCCTTGTACTCATCTCTAAAAACTGCAAAACATCCAGAACTCTGCAGCGTCCTGACCCACACCAGGTCCAGAGAACACATCACCCCTGTCCTCCAGCGACTCCACTGGCTCCTCGTTCAAAATCAAGCTTCTTCTCCTCACCTACAAGTCCCTCCATAACCTGGCCCCGCCCCCTACCTTACTGAGCTCCTGCAACACTGACCCTCCTGCTGCCATCACTCAGCCAACTCCAGCCTCACTCCGATCATCCGTACTAACCTCCTCACTCCCATCACCCGCACTATCTCCCTTGCTATTGCAGCCCCTATTCCTCTGGAAATCACTCCCACTGCCCTTTACAAACTCTGACTCACTACCAAACTTTAAATCAGTCTCAAATCCCATCTGTTCCAAATCCATTTTTTATTCTATTCCCCATGAGAAGCGTCTTTGAGTGTCCAAAAAGCGCTATACAAGTTAAGCCCTGTTCGGACAGGATTAGTATCACCTGTGGACCCCTGGTAATTTGTGATAATCACAGAGGACGTGCATTCACACGGGATAAGCAATGTCTGTAATTTTCACAGACATCTCTCATAACGGCCGCACGTTCGAGTCTCTCCGCTTTGTGCAGTTCATCGAGAAAGGCGTCTTTATTGTGCATTTGTTCAACAGCAACTCAAAGGAAAATGGTTTCATTACACCTGTTTTTTGTAAAATAGTTAGTGTGCAGACCATAATAAATGTGACATTTGATTTGAGCAGTCTTATTTTTTGTCCGGTCTTAATTTTTGTAATGCCTGTGAACAATATGAAGGACATGTATCGCAGTATGTAAAGAATTCCAATAATATTGAAAGGTTTCCAAAATATCGCTAAACCATCAAATTGTCACATTTCAAACATTTCCCAGCCCTAGTTATATGTGTTCAATACATATGCCTCTTCTAATAAGATTAATACGGTGTTGTGGTATGATTAGTTCACAAAATCTCACAGACTCTTGTTCTTTCTTGAACATAATATTAATGAAAAAAACAGTCCCAACATTCCAAGTTCAAAGCAACATCTCCTAAAAGGCTCCCGACCCGCTCAAGTGCGAAATCTGCAGCTATGAAAACAAAAGTCATGACGCTCTTCTATATTTCCAGCTGACCTGTGCTTTTTGGCCCATGCTCAGCTTCAGAGCGGCTCTACCCGTCCAGCAGCGCGGAAGAGCGGCTTCGCAACATATTTTCTACGTTTCAAAGCAATCTGCCGGCGTTTCTCAGGATCCTGACTCCACACGCCGCGGAGGACCAGGAAGTATCCAACATTTACTCCTGATTACCCCCGGCTCATCCATGCGCAGCGGTACACAGGCAAACATGGACAGGCAGCAGTGAACCGCGGCCCCTGGAGGAAACACCCACATACAGCAGAGGGGGAGCACAGGGACAGCAGAGGGGGAGCACAGGGACAGCAGAGGGGGAGCACAGGGACAGCAGAGGGGGAGTACAGGGACAGCAGAGGGGGAGCACAGGGACAGCAGAGGGGGAGTACAGGGACAGCAGAGGGGGAGCACAGGGACAGCAGAGGGGGAGCACAGGGACAGCAGAGGGGGAGCACAGGGACAGCAGAGGGGGAGCACAGGGACAGCAGAGGGGGAGTACAGGGACAGCAGAGGGGGAGTACAGGGACAGCAGAGGGGGAGTACAGGGACAGCAGAGGGGGAGCACAGGGACAGCAGAGGGGGAGCACAGGGACAGCAGAGGGGGAGTACAGGGACAGCAGAGGGGGAGCACAGGGACAGCAGAGGGGGAGTACAGGGACAGCAGAGGGGGAGTACAGGGACAGCAGAGGGGGAGCACAGGGACAGCAGAGGGGGAGTACAGGGACAGCAGAGGGGGAGCACAGGGACAGCAGAGGGGGAGCACAGGGACAGCAGAGGGGGAGCACAGGGACAGCAGAGGGGGAGCACAGGGACAGCAGAGGGGGAGTACAGGGACAGCAGAGGGGGAGTACAGGGACAGCAGAGGGGGAGTACAGGGACAGCAGAGGGGGAGCACAGGGACAGCAGAGGGGGAGCACAGGGACAGCAGAGGGGGAGCACAGGGACAGCAGAGGGGGAGCACAGGGACAGCAGAGGGGGAGCACAGGGACAGCAGAGGGGGAGCACAGGGACAGCAGAGGGGGAGCACAGGGACAGCAGAGGGGGAGTACAGGGACAGCAGAGGGGGAGCACAGGGACAGCAGAGGGGGAGCACAGGGACAGCAGAGGGGGAGCACAGGGACAGCAGAGGGGGAGCACAGGGACAGCAGAGGGGGAGTACAGGGACAGCAGAGGGGGAGCACAGGGACAGCAGAGGGGGAGTACAGGGACAGCAGAGGGGGAGTACAGGGACAGCAGAGGGGGAGCACAGGGACAGCAGAGGGGGAGCACAGGGACAGCAGAGGGGGAGCACAGGGACAGCAGAGGGGGAGCACAGGGACAGCAGAGGGGGAGTACAGGGACAGCAGAGGGGGAGTACAGGGACAGCAGAGGGGGAGTACAGGGACAGCAGAGGGGGAGCACAGGGACAGCAGAGGGGGAGCACAGGGACAGCAGAGGGGGAGCACAGGGACAGCAGAGGGGGAGCACAGGGACAGCAGAGGGGGAGCACAGGGACAGCAGAGGGGGAGCACAGGGACAGCAGAGGGGGAGCACAGGGACAGCAGAGGGGGAGTACAGGGACAGCAGAGGGGGAGCACAGGGACAGCAGAGGGGGAGCACAGGGACAGCAGAGGGGGAGCACAGGGACAGCAGAGGGGGAGCACAGGGACAGCAGAGGGGGAGTACAGGGACAGCAGAGGGGGAGTACAGGGACAGCAGAGGGGGAGCACAGGGACAGCAGAGGGGGAGCACAGGGACAGCAGAGGGGGAGCACAGGGACAGCAGAGGGGGAGCACAGGGACAGCAGAGGGGGAGCACAGGGACAGCAGAGGGGGAGCACAGGGGACAGCAGAGGGGGAGTACAGGGACAGCAGAGGGGGAGTACAGGGACAGCAGAGGGGGAGCACAGGGACAGCAGAGGGGGAGTACAGGGACAGCAGAGGGGGAGTACAGGGACAGCAGAGGGGGAGTACAGGGACAGCAGAGGGGGAGCACAGGGACAGCAGAGGGGGAGCACAGGGACAGCAGAGGGGGAGTACAGGGACAGCAGAGGGGGAGCACAGGGACCCAGGCCAGGGCCGGTTCACAGACCTGTTTATCTGAGCCATGGCTCCAATTAATTAATTGGGCGGCACGGTGGCTGAGTGGATAGCACTCTCGCCTCTCAGCAAGAAGGTCCTGGGTTCAAACCCCGGTCGGACCAGGGCCTTTCTGAGTGGAGTTTGCATGTTCTCCCCGTGTCTGCGTAGGTTTCCTCCGGGTACTCCGGTTTCCCCTACCACTAAAAATATGTACAATAGATCTGGCATGCGCCTCCTGTTCGGCGACCCCGCTCCCATCTCTGTGTGGAGTGAGAGGACAAGTGCCCAAAAAAAAAAAAAAAAAATAACAATTGTAAACCGCTTTGTGACCCTTGTCTGTGAAAGGCGGTATATAAATAAACATTACTTACTTACTTAAACCAGGCAGGATAACAACCTGAGAAAAGGATGAACTATTTAGTTTTTAAGCAGAATACTTATATGCTTTAATGGTTTAGATAAAAGCCCCATAAATCTCTTGTCTTGCTCAATTGGTAGAGCATTGGCCTTTGAGCCAGAAGGTCGTGGGTTCGAGCCCACCTCAAGACTTTCACCATCGACTCCCTCTATGGAGTGAATGAATAATGACATGTAAAGAATGAATAATGAGGTAAAAACGCTTTATAAAATTGATGCATTAATATTATTTGTCTTCATGTTCCACAGTCCATCCTGAGCAAATGTGATTATAATGTCGCCGATACCCCATTCAACACTCAAAACGTTGCAATTTCTAGCCATTTCTTACCTAGAGGCGATGTCAGCACAATTGGATCGAGTGGATCTCTGCTGCTCTATCTGTGAGCCCTCCTCCCGGTGCTTAGTCATGTCAGACCTGAGAATTAACCTTTTCCAAACGACGGCGATCCGTCAAAGAGCCCCATGTTCTCGATCCAGAATCAGACCCAATTATTTAGTTAACAGAGGTCCTTGTTAGTTAGTTGGGGCGACAGCGGTTCAGGTGGTACAGCATTGGCCTTAGAGCCCGAAGGTCATGGGTTCGAGTCCACCACGAGAACTACTTCATGACTCCCACTGATGACTGCTGTCGTTGTGTCCTCGGCCTGGGGCTTCACTTTGCCTGAAGCCCCCGCTGGAAGATCTCAGCTCCTGTGGACTCAGCACCTGCAGGAGGATCAGTGAGGGGCTGGTGCTCTGTGACTGGGTGCAGCTCTGACTGCCACCCCTGACCCAGAAATGGATTAAGGGGAAGAAGATGGATGGATGGACAGTGGCCCTTGTAAGTTTATTTTGTTTTGGAACAGCCTTTGGTGAAGTGTTGTCACATATTTACACCCAAAAACACATTTTATCCAAGTTGACAGGACTGTTACTCAAAATTAGTAAAGTGAATGCGGTGTTTTTCCATCAGGAGGACTCAGAGACAATCCAGGGAACGCTTGGCAGAGTTCTTCTTTTTCACACTGGTTACCAACACATTATTCCTAAAATATGACTATTTAAAAAAAAGACAGACACAAACTTTTGCCCAGTAACTTCTCACTAATTGGGTCGAGGCTTCGTCCATGGACCGAGCAAAGTTCTTCTTGTCAAAGTGAATCTGGGAGTCATGGGGTCAGCCGCAGCCGTGGATCTGAGCGGCGCCGTAAACAAACCCGCTCACTTACATGTCATTTACAAAAAGCCTCACTGTGATGTCGTTAATAGAGTCATTTTCCTGCAAATGTAAAATATAAATGAGTTGTTGGGCTCCGTGTGAGACTCGCTCTTCATTAAAACTGTTTATGGCACAAAAGTGTCACCTGCAGGAGCCATAACAGCCTCATTATCTGCTCTCACATTTAGCAGCGTTCAGAGCAAACTTTTGCCTCAAACTGAGAACAATTGAAGAATGAGAGACTCGAGATGAGAAGCGGCAAATTAATGACAGACACCACCGTTTTTATTATGAAGCTTTGAATGTGTTTGTAAAGCAGCGTATGGGCCAAGGCAAGGCCAGTGTATCTGTAAAGCACGAGTCGTACTCAGTGATGAACAGGACAAGATAAAAACAGTCGCACAAGGCTTTAAATCATTCACAGTACATTAAAAAGAAAGATACAAAAATAGAAAGAAAAAAACATAAGGCTCTTCTAATAAGAAAATACCGCACTACCTTGTACCGAGCTCCTACAACACCAACCCACCCCCATCACCCCCATCACCCTCACCCCCATCACCCTCACCCCCATCACCCCCATCACCCCCATCACCCCCATCACCCCCATCACCCGCACTAACCTCCTCACCCCCATCACCCACACTAACCCTCACCCCCATCACCCGCACTAACCTCCTCACCCCCATCACCCGCACTAACCCTCACCCCCATCACCCGCACTAACCTCCTCACCCCCATCACCCACACTAACCTCCTCACCCCCATCACCCGCACTAACCTCCTCACCCCCATCACCCGCACTCACCTCCTCACCCCCATCACCCGCACTAACCTCCTCACCCCCATCACCCACACTAACCTCCTCACCCCCATCACCCGCACTCACCTCCTCACCCCCATCACCCGCACTAACCCTCACCCCCATCACCCGCACTAACCTCCTCACCCCCATCACCCACACTAACCTCCTCACCCCCATCACCCGCACTAACCTCCTCACCCCCATCACCCGCACTCACCTCCTCACCCCCATCACCCGCACTAACCTCCTCACCCCCATCACCCACACTAACCTCCTCACCCCCATCACCCGCACTAACCTCCTCACCCCCATCACCCGCACTAACCTCCTCACCCCCATCACCCGCACTAACCTCCTCACCCCCATCACCCACACTAACCTCCTCACCCCATCACCCGCACTAACCTCCTCACCCCCATCACCCGCACTAACCTCCTCACTCCCCATCACCCGCACTAACCTCCTCACCCCCATCACCCGCACTAACCTCCTCACCCCCATCACCCGCACCCGCACCGCACTCACCTCCTCACCCCTATCACCCGCACTAACCTCCTCACCCCCATCACCCACACTAACCTCCTCACCCCCATCACCCACACTAACCTCCTCACCCCCATCACCCACACTAACCTCCTCACCCCCATCACCCACACTAACCCTCACCCCCATCACCCGCACTCACCTCCTCACCCCTATCACCCGCACTAACCTCCTCACCCCCATCACCCACACTAACCCTCACCCCCATCACCCACACTAACCCTCACCCCCATCACCCACACTAACCCTCACCCCCATCACCCGCACTAACCTCCTCACCCCCATCACCCGCACTCACCTCCTCACCCCCATCACCCGCACTAACCTCCTCACCCCCATCACCCGCACTAACCCTCACCCAAACCCTCACCCCCATCACCCGCACTAACCTCCTCACCCCCATCACCCACACTAACCCTCACCCCCATCACCCACACTAACCCTCACCCCCATCACCCGCACTAACCTCCTCACCCCCATCACCCGCACTAACCTCCTCACCCCCATCACCCACACTAACCTCCTCACCCCCATCACCCGCACTAACCCTCACCCCATCCCACACCCCACCCCCATCACCCGCACTAACCCTCACCCCCATCACCCACACTAACCCTCACCACCCATCACCCGCACTAACCCTCACCCCCATCACCCGCACTAACCCTCACCCCCATCACCCACACTAACCTCCTCACCCCCATCACCCACACTAACCTCCTCACCCCCATCACCCGCACTAACCCTCACCCCCATCACCCGCACTAACCTCCTCACCCCCATCACCCGCACTAACCTCCTCACCCCCATCACCCGCACTAACCTCCTCACCCCCATCACCCGCACTAACCTCCTCACCCCCATCACCCGCACTAACCCTCACCCCCATCACCCACACTAACCCTCACCCCCATCACCCGCACTCACCTCCTCACCCCCATCACCCGCACTAACCTCCTCACCCCCATCACCCGCACTAACCTCCTCACCCCCATCACCCACACTAACCTCCTCACCCCCATCACCCGCACTAACCTCCTCACCCCCATCACCCGCACTAACCTCCTCACCCCCATCACCCGCACTCACCTCCTCACCCCCATCACCCGCACTCACCCTCACCCCCATCACCCGCACTAACCCTCACCCCCATCACCCGCACTAACCCCTCACCCCCATCACCCGCACTAACCTCCTCACCCCCATCACCCGCACTCACCTCCTCACCCCCATCACCCGCACTAACCTCCTCACCCCCCACCCGCACTAACCTCCTCACCCCCATCACCCGCACTAACCTCCTCACCCCCATCACCCGCACTCACCTCCTCACCCCCATCACCCGCACTAACCTCTCACCCCATCACCCGCACTAACCTCCTCACCCCCATCACCCGCACTAACCTCCTCACCCCCATCACCCGCACTAACCTCCTCACCCCCATCACCCGCACTAACCCCTCACCCCCATCACCCGCACTAACCTCCTCACCCCCATCACCCGCACTCACCTCCTCACCCCCATCACCCGCACTCACCTCCTCACCCCCCATCACCCGCACTAACCTCCTCACCCCCATCACCCGCACTAACCTCCTCACCCCCATCACCCGCACTAACCTCCTCACCCCCATCACCCGCACTAACCTCCTCACCCCCATCACCCGCACTAACCTCCTCACCCCCATCACCCGCACTCACCTCCTCACCCCCATCACCCGCACTAACCTCCTCACCCCCATCACCCGCACTAACCTCCTCACCCCCATCACCCGCACTCACCTCCTCACCCCCATCACCCGCACTAACCTCCTCACCCCCATCACCCGCACTAACCTCCTCACCCCCATCACCCGCACTAACCTCCTCACCCCCATCACCCGCACTAACCTCCTCACCCCCATCACCCGCACTAACCTCCTCACCCCCATCACCCGCACTAACCTCCTCACCCCCATCACCCGCACTAACCTCCTCACCCCCATCACCCGCACTAACCTCCTCACCCCATCACCCGCACTAACCTCCTCACCCCCATCACCCGCACTCACCTCCTCACCCCCATCACCCCACTAACCTCCTCACCCCCATCACCCGCACTAACCTCCTCACCCCCATCACCCGCACTAACCTCCTCACCCCCATCACCCGCACTAACCTCCTCCCCCACCCATCACCCGCACTAACCTCCTCACCCCCATCACCCGCACTAACCTCCTCACCCCCATCACCCGCACTAACCTCCTCACCCCATCACCCGCACTACCTCCTCACCCCATCACCCGCACTAACCTCCTCACCCCCATCACCCGCACTAACCTCCTCACCCCCATCACCCGCACTAACCTCCTCACCCCCATCACCCGCACTACCTCCTCACCCCATCCCCACCCCTCACCATCCCGCACTAACCTCCTCACCCCCATCACCCGCACTAACCTCCTCACCCCCATCACCCGCACTAACCTCCTCACCCCCATCACCCGCACTAACCTCCTCACCCCCATCACCCGCACTAACCTCCTCACCCCCATCACCCGCACTAACCTCCTCACCCCCATCACCCGCACTAACCTCCTCACCCCCATCACCCGCACTAACCTCCTCACCCCCATCACCCGCACTAACCTCCTCACCCCCATCACCCGCACTAACCTCCTCACCCCATCACCCACTCACCCGCACTAACCTCCTCACCCCCATCACCCGCACTAACCTCCTCACCCCCATCACCCGCACTAACCTCCTCACCCCCATCACCCGCACTAACCTCCTCACCCCCATCACCCGCACTAACCTCCTCACCCCATCACCCGCACTAACCTCCTCACCCCCATCACCCGCACTACCTCCTCACCCCATCACCCGCACTAACCTCCTCACCCCCATCACCCGCACTAACCCCTCACCCCCATCACCCGCACTCACCTCCTCACCCCCATCACCCGCACTAACCTCCTCACCCCCATCACCCGCACTAACCTCCTCACCCCCATCACCCGCACTAACCTCCTCACCCCCATCACCCGCACTAACCTCCTCACCCCCATCACCCGCACTAACCTCCTCACCCCATCACCCCACTACCCTCACCCCCACTCACCCCACTACCTCCTCACCCCATCACCCGCACTAACCTCCTCACCCCCATCACCCGCACTAACCTCCTCACCCCCATCACCCGCACTAACCTCCTCACCCCCATCACCCGCACTAACCTCCTCACCCCCACACCCGCACTAACCTCCTCACCCCCATCACCCGCACTAACCTCCTCACCCCCATCACCCGCACTAACCTCCTCACCCCCATCACCCGCACTAACCTCCTCACCCCCATCACCCGCACTCACCTCCTCACCCCCATCACCCGCACTAACCTCCTCACCCCCATCACCCGCACTAACCTCCTCACCCCCATCACCCGCACTCACCTCCTCACCCCCATCACCCGCACTAACCTCCTCACCCCCATCACCCGCACTAACCTCCTCACCCCCATCACCCGCACTAACCTCCTCACCCCCATCACCCGCACTAACCTCTCACCCCCATCACCCGCACTAACCTCCTCACCCCCATCACCCGCACTCACCTCCTCACCCCCATCACCCGCACTAACCTCCTCACCCCCATCACCCGCACTAACCTCCTCACCCCCATCACCCGCACTAACCTCCTCACCCCCATCACCCGCACTAACCTCCTCACCCCCATCACCCGCACTAACCTCCTCACCCCCATCACCCGCACTAACCTCCTCACCCCCATCACCCGCACTAACCTCCTCACCCCCATCACCCGCACTAACCTCCTCACCCCCATCACCCGCACTCACCTCCTCACCCCCATCACCCGCACTAACCTCCTCACCCCCATCACCCGCACTAACCTCCTCACCCCCATCACCCGCACTAACCTCCTCACCCCCATCACCCGCACTAACCTCCTCACCCCCATCACCCGCACTAACCTCCTCACCCCCATCACCCGCACTAACCTCCTCACCCCCATCACCCGCACTAACCTCCTCACCCCCATCACCCGCACTAACCTCCTCACCCCCATCACCCGCACTAACCTCCTCACCCCCATCACCCGCACTCACCTCCTCACCCCCATCACCCGCACTAACCTCCTCACCCCCATCACCCGCACTAACCTCCTCACCCCCATCACCCGCACTAACCTCCTCACCCCCATCACCCGCACTAACCTCCTCACCCCCATCACCCGCACTAACCTCCTCACCCCCATCACCCGCACTAACCTCCTCACCCCCATCACCCGCACTAACCTCCTCACCCCCATCACCCGCACTAACCTCCTCACCCCCATCACCCGCACTAACCTCCTCACCCCCATCACCCGCACTAACCTCCTCACCCCCATCACCCGCACTAACCTCCTCACCCCCATCACCCGCACTAACCTCCTCACCCCCATCACCCGCACTAACCTCCTCACCCCCATCACCCGCACTAACCCTCACCCCCATCACCCGCACTAACCTCCTCACCCCCATCACCCGCACTAACCTCCTCACCCCCATCACCCGCACTAACCCTCACCCCCATCACCCGCACTCACCTCCTCACCCCCATCACCCGCACTAACCTCCTCACCCCCATCACCCGCACTAACCTCCTCACCCCCATCACCCGCACTAACCTCCTCACCCCCATCACCCGCACTAACCTCCTCACCCCCATCACCCGCACTAACCTCCTCACCCCCATCACCCGCACTAACCTCCTCACCCCCATCACCCGCACTCACCTCCTCACCCCCATCACCCGCACTAACCTCCTCACCCCCATCACCCGCACTAACCTCCTCACCCCCATCACCCGCACTAACCTCCTCACCCCCATCACCCGCACTAACCTCCTCACCCCCATCACCCGCACTCACCTCCTCACCCCCATCACCCGCACTCACCTCCTCACCCCCATCACCCCGCACTAACCTCCTCACCCCCATCACCCGCACTAACCTCCTCACCCCCATCACCCGCACTAACCTCCTCACCCCCATCACCCGCACTAACCTCCTCACCCCCATCACCCGCACTAACCTCCTCACCCCCATCACCCGCACTAACCTCCTCACCCCATCACCCGCACTAACCTCCTCCCCCATCACCCGCACTAACCTCCTCACCCCCATCACCCGCACTAACCTCCTCACCCCCATCACCCGCACTAACCTCCTCACCCCCATCACCCGCACTAACCTCCTCACCCCCATCACCCGCACTAACCTCCTCACCCCCATCACCCGCACTAACCTCCTCACCCCCATCACCCGCACTAACCTCCTCACCCCCATCACCCGCACTAACCTCCTCACCCCCATCACCCGCACTAACCTCCTCACCCCCATCACCCGCACTAACCTCCTCACCCCCATCACCCGCACTCACCTCCTCACCCCCATCACCCGCACTAACCTCCTCACCCCCATCACCCACACTAACCTCCTCACCCCCATCACCCGCACTCACCTCCTCACCCCCATCACCCGCACTCACCTCCTCACCCCCATCACCCGCACTAACCTCCTCACCCCCATCACCCGCACTAACCTCCTCACCCCCATCACCCGCACTAACCTCCTCACCCCCATCACCCGCACTAACCTCCTCACCCCCATCACCCGCACTAACCTCCTCACCCCCATCACCCGCACTAACCTCCTCACCCCCATCACCCGCACTAACCTCCTCACCCCCATCACCCGCACTAACCTCCTCACCCCCATCACCCGCACTAACCTCCTCACCCCCATCACCCGCACTAACCTCCTCACCCCCATCACCCGCACTCAACCTCCTCACCCCCATCACCCGCACTAACCCCTCACCCCCATCACCCGCACTCACCTCCTCACCCCCATCACCCGCACTAACCTCCTCACCCCCATCACCCGCACTAACCTCCTCACCCCCATCACCCGCACTCACCTCCTCACCCCCATCACCCGCACTAACCTCCTCACCCCCCATCACCCGCACTAACCTCCTCACCCCCATCACCCGCACTAACCTCCTCACCCCCATCACCCGCACTAACCTCCTCACTCCCCATCACCCGCACTCACCTCCTCACCCCCATCACCCGCACTAACCTCCTCACCCCCATCACCCGCACTAACCTCCTCACCCCCATCACCCGCACTCACCTCCTCACCCCCATCACCCGCACTAACCTCCTCACCCCCATCACCCGCACTAACCTCCTCACCCCCATCACCCACTACTAACACCCCACTCCTCACCCCCATCACCCGCACTAACCTCCTCACCCCCATCACCCGCACTAACCTCCTCACCCCCATCACCCGCACTAACCTCCTCACCCCCATCACCCGCACTAACCTCCTCACCCCCATCACCCGCACTAACCTCCTCACCCCCATCACCCGCACTAACCTCCTCACCCCCATCACCCGCACTAACCTCCTCACCCCCATCACCCGCACTAACCTCCTCACCCCCATCACCCGCACTAACCCCTCACCCCCATCACCCGCACTAACCTCCTCACCCCCATCACCCACACTCACCTCCTCACCCCCATCACCCGCACTAACCTCCTCACTCCCATCACCCGCACTCACCTCCTCACCCCCATCACCCGCACTAACCTCCTCACCCCCATCACCCGCACTCACCTCCTCACCCCCATCACCCACACTAACCTCCTCACCCCCATCACCCGCACTCCTCTCACCTCCTCACCCCCATCACCCACACTAACCTCCTCACCCCCATCACCCGCACTAACCTCCTCACCCCCATCACCCGCACTAACCTCCTCACCCCCATCACCCGCACTAACCTCCTCACCCCCATCACCCGCACTAACCTCCTCACCCCCATCACCCGCACTCACCTCCTCACCCCCATCACCCGCACTAACCTCCTCACCCCCATCACCCGCACTAACCTCCTCACCCCCATCACCCGCACTAACCTCCTCACCCCCATCACCCGCACTAACCTCCTCACCCCCATCACCCGCACTAACCTCCTCACCCCCATCACCCGCACTACCTCCTCACCCCCATCACCCGCACTCACCTCCTCACCCCCATCACCCGCACTAACCTCCTCACCCCCATCACCCGCACTAACCTCCTCACCCCCATCACCCGCACTAACCTCCTCACCCCCATCACCCGCACTAACCTCCTCACCCCCATCACCCGCACTCACCCTCACCCCCATCACCCGCACTAACCTCCTCACCCCCATCACCCGCACTAACCTCCTCACCCCCATCACCCGCACTAACCTCCTCACCCCCATCACCCGCACTAACCTCCTCACCCCCATCACCCGCACTAACCTCCTCACCCCCATCACCCGCACTAACCTCCTCACCCCCATCACCCGCACTAACCTCCTCACCCCCATCACCCGCACTAACCTCCTCACCCCCATCACCCGCACTAACCTCCTCACCCCCATCACCCGCACTAACCTCCTCACCCCCATCACCCGCACTAACCTCTCACCCCCATCACCCGCACTAACCTCCTCACCCCCATCACCCGCACTCACCTCCTCACCCCCATCACCCGCACTCACCTCCTCACCCCCCCACTCACCTCCTCACCCCCATCACCCGCACTACCTCTCACCCCCATCACCCGCACTAACCTCCTCACCCCCATCACCCGCACTCACCTCCTCACCCCCATCACCCGCACTAACCTCCTCACCCCCATCACCCGCACTCACCTCCTCACCCCCATCACCCGCACTAACCTCCTCACCCCCATCACCCGCCACTAACCTCCTCACCCCCATCACCCGCACTCACCTCCTCACCCCCATCACCCGCACTAACCTCCTCACCCCCATCACCCGCACTAACCTCCTCACCCCCATCACCCGCACTAACCTCCTCACCCCCATCACCCGCACTAACCTCCTCACCCCCATCACCCGCACTAACCTCCTCACCCCCATCACCCGCACTAACCTCCTCACCCCCATCACCCGCACTAACCTCCTCACCCCCATCACCCGCACTAACCTCCTCACCCCCATCACCCGCACTAACCTCCTCACCCCCATCACCCGCACTAACCTCCTCACCCCCATCACCCGCACTCACCTCCTCACCCCCATCACCCGCACTACCTCCTCACCCCCATCACCCGCACTAACCTCCTCACCCCCATCACCCGCACTAACCTCCTCACCCCCATCACCCGCACTAACCTCCTCACCCCCATCACCCGCACTAACCTCCTCACCCCCATCACCCGCACTAACCTCCTCACCCCCATCACCCGCACTAACCTCCTCACCCCCCATCACCCGCACTAACCTCCTCACCCCCATCACCCGCACTAACCTCCTCACCCCCATCACCCGCACTAACCTCCTCACCCCCATCACCCGCACTAACCTCATCACCCCACATCACCCGCACTAACCTCCTCACCCCCATCACCCGCACTAACCTCCTCACCCCCATCACCCGCACTAACCTCCTCACCCCCATCACCCGCACTAACCCCTCACCCCCATCACCCCACTAACCTCCTCACCCCCATCACCCGCACTAACCTCCTCACCCCCATCACCCGCACTAACCTCCTCACCCCCATCACCCGCACTAACCTCCTCACCCCCATCACCCGCACTAACCTCCTCACCCCCATCACCCGCACTAACCTCCTCACCCCCATCACCCGCACTAACCTCCTCACCCCCATCACCCGCACTAACCTCCTCACCCCCATCACCCGCACTAACCTCCTCACCCCCACCCCGCACTAACCACCTCCTCACCCCCATCACCCGCACTAACCTCCTCACCCCCATCACCCGCACTAACCTCCTCACCCCCATCACCCGCACTAACCTCCTCACCCCCATCACCCGCACTAACCTCCTCACCCCCATCACCCGCACTCAACCTCCTCACCCCCATCACCCGCACTAACCTCCTCACCCCCATCACCCGCACTAACCTCCTCACCCCCATCACCCGCACTCACCTCCTCACCCCCATCACCCGCACTAACCTCCTCATCCCCCATCACCCCACTAACCTCCTCCCCCCCCATCACCCGCACTAACCTCCTCACCCCCATCACCCGCACTAACCTCACTCACCCCCATCACCCGCACTAACCTCCTCACCCCCATCACCCGCACTACCTCCTCACCCCCATCACCCGCACTAACCTCCTCACCCCCATCACCCGCACTCACCTCCTCACCCCCATCACCCGCACTAACCTCCTCACCCCCATCACCCGCACTAACCTCCTCACCCCCATCACCCGCACTCACCTCCTCACCCCCATCACCCGCACTAACCTCCTCACCCCCATCACCCGCACTAACCTCCTCACCCCCATCACCCCGCACTAACCTCCTCACCCCCATCACCCGCACTAACCTCCTCACCCCCATCACCCGCACTAACCTCCTCACCCCCATCACCCGCACTCACCTCCTCACCCCCATCACCCGCACTAACCTCCTCACCCCCATCACCCGCACTAACCTCCTCACCCCCATCACCCGCACTCACCTCCTCACCCCCATCACCCGCACTAACCTCCTCACCCCCATCACCCGCACTAACCTCCTCACCCCCATCACCCGCACTAACCCTCACCCCCATCACCCGCACTAACCTCCTCACCCCCATCACCCGCACTAACCTCCTCACCCCCATCACCCGCACTAACCTCCTCACCCCCATCACCCGCACTAACCTCCTCACCCCCATCACCCGCACTAACCTCCTCACCCCCATCACCCGCACTAACCTCCTCACCCCATCACCCGCACTAACCTCCTCACCCCCATCACCCGCACTAACCTCCTCACCCCCATCACCCGCACTAACCTCCTCACCCCCATCACCCGCACTAACCTCCTCACCCCCATCACCCGCACTAACCTCCTCACCCCCATCACCCGCACTAACCTCCTCACCCCCATCACCCGCACTAACCTCCTCACCCCCATCACCCGCACTAACCCCTCACCCCATCACCCGCACTAACCTCCTCACCCCCATCACCCGCACTAACCTCCTCACCCCCATCACCCGCACTAACCTCCTCACCCCCATCACCCGCACTAACCTCCTCACCCCCATCACCCGCACTAACCTCCTCACCCCCATCACCCGCACTAACCTCCTCACCCCCATCACCCGCACTAACCTCCTCACCCCCATCACCCGCACTCACCTCCTCACCCCCATCACCCGCACTAACCTCCTCACCCCATCACCCACAATGACAGTGACCCACTGACAATGTGGGGGAAGTATCTTGCCTAAGGACACACCGGCCCCACAGTGGCACCTGGTGTTCTCACAGGTCTCCCATCTCAGTACTTCAATGAAGACCCTTAAATGTAAAGTAAATTCTTTCAATAAAATGATTTAACGAACAATGGATGACCTTTTCTTTATATCCTTTCCCAAGATCCTAACTTTAAGTTTCAGTATTTCTTCCTAGAACAGTGAACATCAACACACACACAGTCACATTAACTGAGATTTATTTTTTGAAAAACACTCTAATAAAATGTCATATGTACAATATGAACAGACATGTTTGCCCAAACAGCCACACAGCAGCAGGCTACAGCTTTTCCACCATCCTCTCGAAGAGACTTAAAAAGCGCAAAGTCTTCTCCTCTGACTCCTCGTGTCTTCTCTGTTCCTTGTCCGACTCTGCTTGGAGAAAGTCCAAAATCCTCTGGCTATCTGTCCTCTTCCTTTTTCTGGGGGTAGGGGTGTTATGGCGAGAGGATGAAGAGGACGGGGTTGGTAAGAGGGAGGATTGTTTGAGGATGGAGCTGGAGAAGCAGACCGGGTCGATGGTGCAGAGGAGGCAGAGCCCAACTGAGTATCCTCACTGGGGGTCTCGTCAGGATTGACAATGGCCTGTTGGAGACAAATTATTGTCACGTCATGGCAAATAAAGTTATTAACTGCACGGCTTATTACTGCCACAGACTTTTTGTCTGAAATTTAGTTTTCATAAAATTGGCTTCATTCGCAGCTCTGTAATTTATGAGAGCAAAGGTTTTCTCCGTGGTCCCTGGGGAAAAAACAGCGTTGGTCAGTTGTTCAGTTCCACTACTACTGCAAGCTGTTTGCGCAGGTTTGCAAACACACAACCAACGTTAATGGTGAACACAAACGCTTACCTATGTTTATGAATTCAATGCACACCATGCCATGCACACGTACGAAACAGCGAGCCAACACCGGCATTCTACATTGTAGAACAAATTGCGTACCCACATAATTCTGACACGTTTCATAGCTTTTAGAGTGCATGTTTGTGTGAAATTGTACTTACAGTGCCTTGCGAAAGTATTCGGCCCCCTTGAACCTTTCAACATTTCGCCACATTTCAGTCTTCAAACATAAAGATATAAAATTTAATTTTTTTGTCATGAATCAACAACAAGTGGGACACAATCGTGAAGTGGAACAAAATTTATTGGATAATTTAAACTTTAAAAAAAATAAAAAACTGAAAAGTGGGGCGTGCAATATTATTTGGCCCCTTTACTTTCAGTTCAGAAAACTCAGTCCAGACGTTCAGTGAGGATCTTTGAATGATCCAATGTTGTCCTAAATGACTGATGATGATAAATAGAATGCACCTGTGTGTAATCAAGTCTCCGTATAAATGCACCTGCTCTTTGATAGTCTCAGGGTTCTGTTTAAAGCACAGAGAGAACCATGAAGACAAAGGAACACACCAGGCAGGTCCAAGATACTGTTGTGGAGAAGTTTAAAGCCGGATTTGGATACAAAAAGATTTCCCAAGCTTTAAACACCTCAAGGAGCACTGTGCAAGCAATTATATTGAAATGGAAGGAGTATCAGACCACTGCAAATCTACCAAGACCCGGCCGTCCCTCCAAACTTTCATCTCAAACAAGGAGAAGACTGATCAGAGATGCAGCCAAGAGGCCCATGATCACTCTGGATGAACTGCAGATAACTACAGCTGAGGTGGGAGAGTCTGTCCATAGGACAACAATCAGTCGTGCACTGCACAAATCTGGCCTTTATGGAAGAGTGGCAAGAAGGAAGCCATTTCTCAAAGATATCCATAAAAAGTCTCGTTTAAAGTTTGCCACAAGCCACCTGGGAGACACACAAAACATGTGGAAGAAGGTGCTCTGGTCAGATGAAACCAAAATCAAACTTTTTGGCCACAATGCAAAACGATATGTTTGGCGTAAAAGCAACACAGCTCATCACCCTGAACACAGCATCCCCACCTCAGCTGTAGTTATCTGCAGTTCATCCAGAGCGATCATGGGCCTCTTGGCTGCATCTCTGATCAGTCTTCTCCTTGTTTGAGATGAAAGTTTGGAGGGACGGCCGGGTCTTGGTAGATTTGCAGTGGTCTGATACTCCTTCCATTTCAATATAATTGCTTGCACAGTGGCAAGGCAAGGCAAGGCAAGTTTATTTATATAGCACAATTCATACACAAGGCAATTCAAAGTGCTGAACAAAACAAGAAAGCATTAAAATCATAAATTATCACAGAACATTAAAAAGAAAGATAAAAATATAAAATCCCTCAGTTGTATGCACAGTTAAACAGAACCGTCTTTAACCTGGTTTTAAACATAGTCAGAGAGGAGGCCTGTCTCACATCTTCAGGAAGACTGTTCCAGATTTTAGCAGCATTAATCTGAAAAGCAGCCTCCCCATGTTTAGTTCTGACTCTGGACACTAACAGGAGTCCAGTCCCTGTGCTCCTCAGAGTCCCAGCAGGAGTCCAGTCCCTGTGCTCCTCAGAGTCCCAGCAGGAGTCCAGTCCCTGTGCTCCTCAGAGTCCCAGCAGGAGTCCAGTCCCTGTGCTCCTCAGAGTCCGGGCTGGTTCATATGGGACTAACATGTCACTAATATATTTTGGTGCGAGGCCATGGAGAGACTTATACACAAGCAGAGCTGTTTTAAAGTCTATTCTCTGAGCCACAGGAAGCCAGTGCAGAGACCTGAGGACTGGACTAGTGTGGTCGTACTTCCTGGTTCTAGTCAGGACTAATGTGGTCGTACTTCCTGGTTCTAGTCAGGACTCGAGCTGCTGCATTTTGAATGTACTGCAGCTGTTTTACAGCCTTGAGATGTTTAAAGCTTGGGAAATCTTTTTGTATCCAAATCCGGCTTTAAACTTCTCCACAACAGTATCTCGGACCTGCCTGGTGTGTTCCTTTGTCTTCATGGTTCTCTCTGCGCTTTAAACAGAACCCTGAGACTATCAAAGAGCAGGTGCATTTATACGGAGACTTGATTACACACAGGTGCATTCTATTTATCATCATCAGTCATTTAGGACAACATTGGATCATTCAAAGATCCTCACTGAACTTCTGGACTGAGTTTGCTGCACTGAAAGTAAAGGGGACCAATAATATTGCACGCCCCACTTTTCAGTTTTTTATTTGTTAAAAAAGTTTAAATTATCCAACAAATTTCGTTCCACTTCACGATTGTGTCCCACTTGTTGTTGATTCATGACAAAAAATTAAAATTTTATATCTTTATGTTTGAAGCCTGAAATATGGCGAAATGTTGAAAGGTTCAAGGGGGCCGAATACTTTCGCAAGGCACTGTACATTTGTAGCTTTCGCTCCCGAGAGTCGGCGCCATGTTCATTTGGAAAAACTGGTTTGCCGAGTTCGCAATGCATCATGGGATCACCCTCGCTCGCAAGTGAGCTCCCGACCTCACTTGCGCTCAAGGGTGGTTTTTAGGGCAGTGAAGACCCTCGCCTCGTCTCCCTAAGTATTGGGACACCCTTGCACTCGCGCGGGCACGCGCAAACGCTAGGGCAAGTGTGCTTTTTAAGGGCAAGGGCGAGAATTGGGACGGGGCCTTACCAGGCCCTGACCTGCTCAGACAGGATCTGGCTCTCACCTTCAGGTACGGCCAGATGATCAACAGTGACCGCCCACCACAGTTCTGGTAAAAAATTGTATTTTAACTAAATGTACTTTTTACTTGTGATGTAAAGCAACCTCGGGCATCTAATTAACTGTATTATTATTATTTTTATATTCGAAATGTATAAAACAAGGACAAAACACAGACAATTGATGACTACTTTTTTGCCTTTTTTATTTTGTATTTCTCTACTTCTGCAGATGTTTCCAGTGTCCGATGAATCTGAGTCTAGGCTGTATTTCTATATTTTCTGTTGTTTATAAGGAGCTACTGAATAAATCCTTCTCAATCTTTCTACAAAGCCGCCGCTGTGGTCCTCCAAAATGTGATCGTATAATTCTTCACAACTTGCATGTGCTAAAATAATATTCTCCTCAGTATTGAGAAAAGTCACAGCACTTTCAATCTATTCCATCTCCAGTCTGGTATATACAGAATATATATGTATGAAACCAGCCGGTGTGCCTCTGCTCTGAAACATCCTATTGCCCCCTGTGGTCACATTCATTCACACGCCTCATTTTTCATAATATAAAACTGTAGCGTGAAATCTCCACCTGGCCCTCGCACTGGCACCCCCCACCAAATACAAGTGCCCTTTATCTGGCAACGCGCTGACTAGGTGGTTTTTTCCGAGAAGTGCTCCAACCCCACTGACCTATGCGTGCGTGGAAGACATTTTATCTTTCCTTTTCTTATCGCTACACGCCAACTTATAGCCCCCATGCGATTACATACCGCTAACACACACGCCGTAGACTGGCTTCAACCTTCGCTGATTACATAGGAGGCTGCCCAGGGACCAAGGGAGGGGCGGGGTGAGGCTGGGAGTGGGTATGCGAGAGTGCCTTAGCCCCCTAACCGGATTACTGTCACTAGGGGGAGGAGATAGCGCGGCTTTACGGCGATGGGACGACATCCAAGAAATGTGCACGATCAAATGCGAATCGCCGAGCTTAAATTTGAAAGATCTTATTTTAGATACGGACCCCGAGGCGTAACTGCAGTGCAACTTTGTGCTTTCTTTGGCAAAATGAAAAAGGAGGGAAGAAATACAGAGATGTTGTATTTTGTGCTGATGTAGGGAGCGGAAAGCCAAGCACTTTCCATACAAGTGCAGGTGGAGCAAAGTAAATGCACAAATCAGCAACTGGAGCCAAAGCAGGAGCTCAAACTCTCCTGCGGCGGTTTGTGTGCACTTTAGAACAACGAAATGCACTAGCAAAGCTCAAATGCAAACTTCTTTT